TTAATTACCTTTTTATACTATATAATAATAAACTACACTCTATACTTTATAATACTATCGATCGTACGAACGAATTAATTAATATAGATTTAGTAATTCTATACGCAATTAATAGTAATCTTACTTACTTTACAACTACCCTTTTATTAATTAAACTCCCGAAGGATTTAATTCGTAATAATTATAATAAACTTTAATAAAAGTAAGAGTTTAACGCTTTTATTAGATTTTACAATACTAAAATCTAAGCGTTGTACTTTAAAGAAACTTTTAATTTAATTCCTATAATTACTACTAAATTTAGTAATTTAACGTTTAGAAAAAAATATATAGAAGAGTTAATTACCGCTAGCGAGCGTCTTATAGAACGTATCTTAGCTACTCTCTATATTATATATCCTAACGGTCGTATTATTAGAAATAGCGATATCGATTTTACTAATATCTAAAAATACTGAAAGGTTATTTGATTAATTAATAAAATTCGTAAAACTTTATAATTATTAATTAGAACTATTCCTATTTTAATTTATACTAAAATTCCAATTATTAAAGCAACTCCGAAAAAGGTACGTAAAGCCCTAACCCGAATTGTATAATCGTACTCGGTTACTATTAGCAAAGATAATAATAAAGGAAAAGTATACCCGACCTTCCTTAATACCTTCGCTAACTATAACTAAAATTATACTAATTTTAGCGTTGAAATCGATTAAAAATTACGTACCGAGATCGAGAAGGTTATTAAAGTATATATAGAAAATAAAGAAGTATATAAATATTAATTTACTAATAATTACTCTTTCTTACAATACAAATTTATTTGTAATACTAAAACAACTCTTAATTTAATTTTTAATAAAAGACGCGAAGGAGACGTTAATTTTATAGACCGTATTCCTTTAAAAGTAATTTTATTAGCTATTTAGTATTCTAACTATAATATTAACCTTCCTAAGCAGATTAGCGGTCTATTAAATAAATTTAACTACCTCTATTATATTTAAGTAGCGCCGGTTAAATTAATATTAAATAAACTTCCTAAAGTCGAAAAACTAGTCGATTGTATTATTAAAATTAGTAAAGAACCTATTATACTTATTAATTTTACTTCCTACGAAGAAATTAAAAGTATATTAGTAAATATTTCCGAAAAGTAATTTATAATACTAGCGGCTTCTAATAAATATTAGGGTTAAATTATATAAAAGTTATAAATAGAATTAATAATCCTCTATACCAAACTTAAAAAAACGTAGGAGCTTTATATTAAATATTACCTTACAACCTTATTGATTAGTAGAATTCGTATATTTAATTCTATTTTTAATATTACTACCCCTTGTAGTATTTATTCTAACAATCTTTTACCTTAATATATACTTAGTTTAACTGGTTTATCCAATAAATTCTACTCAATATTGGCTCGTTCGGGTTTTTACTTCAATTCTTTACCTATTACCCGCTCTCCTCACTATAACTACCTCCCTACCGATTAGGAGCGAGAGGATTTTCTATTAGGACGTAAACATTCCTATTAAAATATATAGCGTATAAACGAGAATAAGGAGATTGAGGAGGAGAATTTTAATAATTGCTAGCTTCGTTATAAATATAATTACTAAAGGATTAATATTAGGTTATTAAACTATATACTCTATTCGGATAGTTATATATTTTAAATATTTAGTAGTTAATTTAAGTATAGGTTAATAAATAAAAGCTCTAATAAATAATAGGATCTTTTATATATATAGTTAGATTTAATAACTTTATATAAATAGCGAGCACTCTTCCCCTTTTATCGAAGGGGAAATATTATAGGGCATTCTTAATAAATATTTAAATACTCTATTTTATTATAGTAGCCGCTTACTAGAGTGTATAATTTATTATATAAAAATACTCATCCTATTAACCTTTATTAAAGTTAATAGATTATTAATTAATATTATACTAACTTTACATCTATCTTACTTATACTTAGTAAAGTCGTATACGAGGTCCTAGGTTGAGACTTGCAATAGCTTTTATCTTTAGCTTCCTTTAATAAGACTATTATTAATTGTTACGTACTAATACTCTATCTAGTAACTAGTTGCTCACTTTATTATTCTCTATTGTTATTACTTATAAAGTATATCTTCGTATAATAAAGACCTTAAACGGCGCCAAATAGAATAAACTTCCTCTAACAATTATCGATTGTAATAATAATAACCTTATTCCGCCAAATATCGATAACCCAATAAACTACTTATAAAATAGTAGTATTCTTAAAGGGATTACAACCCGCCAATATTAAATTAACTATATATTAAAGCTAGAGCTTTATATAATAGACTTTTATATTATTAATAATCCCTTAATCTATAGGTTAATACAAGGAAGTAGTATTAGTAGGTAGAATAACGATAGTAATATTATATAAAGCGTAATCTCCGTTACTCTTTTGAAGCTACTTAAGTATAGAAATATAAGTGCTAAATCTATTTATTAGAAGGAGTACCTTCCTACCCTCCATCTAGCGATCGAACTAAAATAAATATTTAATAAAGATAACTACTATCATCTATACCTTCTTATTAAACCGCTATATAAGGGGGAGTCTAATAATATATCTACTATCTTTACCGAAGGTACAAGGGTTCTTAAAGTAACTAATAATCTAAAAATCAAACTTATAATTATTTAATATATTAATAATTAGTATAATTATAATATAGTTCTTCTTCTTCTTACTACTTAATTATATTTAGGTAGCGAGAGTAAAATTAAGGGTAAATAACTAAAAGAAGCTAATTTTATCCGTATTATAAATATTATTAGAAAGATACTATTTAATAATCTATTTAATATATTTAATTTTATTAATAGAACTACTAACGTCGGCAGACCCTAATTCCCTGGATTACTTATACTATTTAATACTATAACGGCGCTTAAATCTAGCCAACTAACTAATAGAGAACCTCGGTTCGTTAAAGGAGTTAAAATTGGATATTAAATTCTATAGCGCTTTAATAATAATTTAAATTATATTTCCCGTAACTAATAATTAAGAACCCTCTATATAAAGTACTTATTTATAAAGTATCTTCTTAAAAATAGGAAAATCGGCCTTATAAATCTTAATAACGCCAATATAACTTCGAACGAATATTTTTATATCGAAATAATTCTATTTAGGTTTAAAGGACTCGCTAATAGTAAATTAGCTAATCTTATAACCGAATTTGCGAATTACTTAAGCAGCTATATTGCGTTAGGTAGTAATAATACGCTTTATATATTGGCGGATAGCTTATTACTAGAATTCGCTAAGGGTATAGCGACGGGGGCCAACGTCTTTCGAAAGCTCAAATATAGTAGAGTATTAAATATAATAATTAAGGGATATACTAGTAAAATTGTAGAGTAATTTATAAGTCGAAGAAGTTTATTAGCAATTGAAATAGGTAATTTTTGAGTAATTTATTAATATACTAGTAAAAGAGGGGAAAGGGGGGGTAGAGGAAATTATACCCAATTAAACTAGCCTAATCTATATACTAGGCAGTTATATTAAAACTAAGCAAAAATAACGATCAAATATTAGATTATGTGTATTACTAAGCAGGATTTTGATTGTAATCTCAATACGGAATATATCGTTATACTGCTAAAATCTCCATATAAATGGAACGGTGGCGGTGAAATTAAACGTTATAGCCAGATTATCGTTATACCTTATATCGTTAATTGCAGACTTGACTGTACCACGTTCTCGGATTTATAACCACAACCACTCAATATCTAGTCTCTAAACAAACCCCCTCTGCCTCCGTACCCCCCGCCCCACATGAAATGTGGGTCTCCTCGAACTTTGTGAGAGGAGGTCTGTGTCAATTTTGAGCATTTCAGCCGTCAAGCGCTGTAAATCCTATATAAACTAGAGTTTTTACTTTTTATATTTTTCTTTATAATAAATTAAGAAAAAATAGTTAAATAAAGAATAAAGTACTCGGAGGATGGTCTTTTTGAGCTTTTTTAAAATATATAATTTTCTCAAAGCTCGGACCACTTATTATAGTAATGCAACCTTAAAGGTAAACCTTCGTCAACAGCAGTTGCTTTAGAACTATTAGACACTCCTTATTTTAAAATCCAAAATTGATCGTATAATAAAAAGAAAAGGTACGTAGAGGATGGCTTCGATGAGACAATTCTATTGGTACTATTTTTATAGTGTACGGACTACCCGTTGAAGTAATATAGCCTCGAGGGGGTAGTATTCCATTTTTCTACCTTTAGATTTCTTTAATTTCTAACCTTATTAGTAGCCGTATAAATACGGTAAGTATATGTAGAGCATGGTCTCAATGACGCGGTTCTAATGGTACCACTCTTATAAAGTATAAATTATTCGTTAAGGTAATGCAGCCTTGAGGGGGTAAAAGCTTTAAAGTTTAAAGCCTTGCATCTTGACGAATATTGATTGTAAAAGAAAACTAAAACTACCATTAGAACCGCAATGAAAAACTCTATATAAGCATAATCTTTATGCACTTTTAATAATTCTATTGGATTTATAATATATAGTTTATTCTTCTGCGGTCCACGGCCGAAATACTCAAAATTGGCTCAGACCTGCTACCGCAGAAACGGGTGGTGTGGGGTAGGGGGGGTGGTTTTGGAGGTTGTGGGTCTGACTGAGACTACAGATGTCGCGGATGTATATGAAACCTAGACCCAGACTCTTGCACAAAGCATTAGTCCAGGACGCAGATCGAAGGCCTGCGGCCGCCGTGCGGTTCGGTTGAGCAAAGCCGGTACCGAACCGTCCTGAATCCGACAAGGGGTATTTGATTGTGAGGGGTAGGAAGTGGTAAGTTTCGGCTCATGCTATGTTTGATGAAATATATATATACAAAGAAAGAGAGAGGGGTGGAGGCAAATACCTTGGCTGCTGGTCTGTCTTCGGCTATGAGGTTGACGATCTAAAACCTACACCCTTTAACAAAACAAATACGTCGCAACAAGTATACGTCAGAGATATCAGTAGAGATGGCTACAACTACGAACGGGCACATGGACGGAGGTGACCTCAAGATAAAGGTTACACTTAAAGATACGGTAGTGGAAAATCTTAGGCCGTTGAGGGTAGTTGTCATTGGCGCAGGGTATAGTGGTATCGGGGCAGCGATTAGGTGAGTTGCTTCCCTACCTCCCGCTTAGGGCTGATGAAGTAGTTGTACCACCGTATCGATACTGACAAACATGGATGTGCGGTGAAGAATACCAGAGAAGCTACGAAATGTCGAGCTAGTGGTCTATGAGAAATACGAAGGCGTCGGAGGGACATGGTAAGTCCACGCTTTTCCTCATGAACTCATCTGTACCGCTAGTCATTCACCAAGCAAAGACGCTGATACTGCAAGGGAAAAAAAGGTGGGTGAACACATATCCAGGTATGTTCGACCTGGTCGTGGTCCCCAAACAGCAGTAGGAAACCAGACGAATGATCAACTAACCGACAGCCAAAACGAACAAAAGGCGTCGCCTGCGACATCCCCTCTCATTCATACCAATTCTCCTTTGCGCCCAACCCAAACTGGTCCAACCTCTATGCGCCAGGCCACGAGATCCAGAAATATCTGCAGGACGTGGCTGAGAAATTCGGAGCGACGAGGTTCATCAAGTTATCACATAAAGTGGAGGAATGTGTCTGGGACGATGGGCAGAAGAAATGGTTCGTTTTAAGTTCGGACCAGTTTCACACACGTCAAATAGAACAGACAGGCTAACAGAACGTGAACGGAAAGGCAAATCAAAGTCATGAACCTGCTTACCGGAGAGGTGTTTACCGATTCGGCAAACGTGCTGATTACGGCCCGAGATCAGCTTAGCGAGCCGCGATGGCCGGATATTCTGGGAATTGACCAGTTTAAGGGGAAGAAGATGCATTCGGGGGCGTGGGATAAGAGGTAAGAGGTTGTCTGACTGGCCTTTCGGATGCAGTCCTGAAAAGGTGTCGTGCTAACTGACCTACAGTTATGACCTCCGCAACAAGAAGATCGCTGTTGTGGGTAACGGTTCCAGTGCCATCCAGATCGTTCCCAAGCTGCAGAAACTCGAAGGAACGACGCTCTCATGTTTCATACGATCACCGACCTGGATATCGTCAGCCTTTGGCGATAACACCATGAAAGACCTAGGACTGGATCCCAAAGTAACCGAGTGTAAGTCTTCATCTTGTTCAGATCACGGACCTCTCAGTGAACAAAAGAGCCTAACAGCCTACACCCAGTCACCGAAGAACAAAAAGCCCTCTTCCGCTCCGACCCTCGCGCCCTCCTCAAATTCCGCAAAGCCTTCGAAGACTTCGGCACCTCCCTCCACAACTCCACCATGGCAGGCCACCCGATGACCATCGAGGGACAAGCTTTCTTTAAAGCGGACATGGAATCCAAGCTGTCGGCTCGTCCCGACCTGCTAGCCAAGATCATCCCAGCCTTCGCCCCTGGCTGCCGGCGCCTCACTCCAGGAAGGGGCTATCTTGAAGCCCTCCAACAACCCAACGTGACAATAGTTCACGACCCCATCTCACACATTACCTCCTCCGGCATCGCGCTCGCCACTGCGGAAGAAAAGAAACAGATAATCGACGCCGACGTGATCGTCTTCGCCACCGGCTTCCAAGCCTGCACCTCCCCACCCTTCCCCATCATCGGCCGGCGCGGACTTACCCTCGCCTCCCGCTGGTCGCAACACCCCGATAGCTACCTCGGTCTAGCCGTCGACGGGTTCCCCAACTCTCTGATGCTGTTCGGCCCAAATACGACCATCGGGTTCGGCAGCCTGAACCGGATCCTGGAGGCGCAGGTAGACTACGTCGTTTCCGTGATCCGCAAATTACAGAAGGAGGATTACGCGTCCATTGAGCCTAAGCCGGAACGAGTGCGGGACTTTGTGGCCTTTGTGGATGCCTACTTTAAGGATACGGTGTACCTGGATAAGTGCAAGAGTTGGTATCGGTCGGAAGGCGGGTCGGGAAACAGGATCGTGGCGCTGTGGCCCGGGTCGACGCAGCATGCTGTTGAGACGCTGAGGAGCCCGAGGTGGGAGGACTGGGTGTATGAGGATGCTGACAAAAGTGGGAATGGGCTGAGGTGGCTAGGGAATGGATGGAGTTTGACGCAGACGAAGGGCGATCCGAGTTGGTATTTGAATCCGGAGGAAATCGAGTTTCCGTGGGAGGGGAAGCCGGAAGAGAACCCGAAGTATAAGTCGAAGCCATGGTCGCATTGAGGGCGGTGGCGGTTGTAGGAAATTTCTAGCTGAAACTAGTTAGCCAGAAGCAATCTTCACATACCTTGGGCTAGAATGAACTCCGGTGTGCCGGGTATATCGCAAAGCCGCAAGATCAACGTTCACTGTGTAAACCGAGTGGAATGATTAGGGTAGTGATTAATATTGTCTGTCTTGGGTTGCTGTAAGTGGTCATCTTCGGCCGCCTTTGCCGGTAGACTAACATGACGGGTTTCAAGTAAAGGCATAGTAACGTGATACACAAACCGCTGCACGAACTCCTTAAGCGCCAGCCTTGAATGTCCTTCCGCTTGCTGTCTTCTTCTCCTTTTCTTCGGTATCGGGCCTGGCTCTCCGGAGAACCTGGAGGAAGTCGGCGGTGCGTTTGCGCATACGCGAGTGAATATACGCCTGGGATGGAATGTCAGATGGAGATCTCTGCGTAGCATGTTTCCCAATGCACCTACCTTGGAGGCCTTGATGTGATAGTGGAAGTAGTCGCGGAAGGTCTGGATATGGGAGATAACATCGGGCATCCGCTGAGGAGTGAGGTGGCGAGGGAACAGGACTGCTACTGTTAGTTAAGCCCAGATACAGCTTGTTTCACGGTGTGGCATACCAAAAGTGACATAACCAATCTCGCCTGTACCAGTATTCTTCACCCCCGGAACATTCTGAAGCTCGAGAGGAGGATCGTTGCGGAACAGGACCTGGGGGGCGTTCTGGATGGCTCTGCGCCTGGCATCGACGAATTCCTGGATGAAGACCTTGCCAAATACTCTGTCCGTTTCTTCCCTAAAAATGGTACTGAATATGACGGTCACACGGTCGTGGCTGGCCTTGACGTAGATAGCCTCCTCTTCTCGGTAGTGAATAGCCTTGACCTCTCCACCCTCACGGACACCCTGTGGCGCCTCCTCGGATGTAAACTTGGACGCTTCCTCCTTTAGGGCGTAGTGTTCCTGGTAGGCCTGCTCGAAGGGCGCGGCCATGGCATTGCGCTTCAACAAGGCAATCTTCATGACAAGGGCATCGCGGGCCTCCTGTTCGGCGGGGAGGTTCTCGAGGTCGACCTGGATGGAAAAGTCATAGCCGGCCTCGGGAGGGACAACGAGATCGCCATATTCGCGGTTGAGGACCTGCTCAGCGCCGTAGCGAACGAGATCCTGGAAGCATCGAATTTGGAGAGAGACGAGGATCTTGGTCTTGGATTCGGGGGTGGAGATGTGGAAGACGACGCCGTCAAAGTCGGAGACAGTCTGGTCGATGTTGACGGGGGAAGCTCTGGAATGCGCGGTGACGGCGGCGGCAGCGTCAGTGCAAGTTCAGGGGCGGACAGGCGCACTGCGCGTTCGGGCTGGAGACGTGGTAAACATACCCAGGAGCGAAACGCTCGGTGAGCACCGCCTGGATCAGGACGTTCTGGTAGTCGAGCAGCAGCATGTTGACGGTAATTCCTCGTATATATCCGGCGCCGTCGAGTTGTTGGAGCCGGGTCGGGTCAGTTGCGTAGGTAGTGTGTTCAAGTGTCGGGGGTGGGGCCGTGATAGGTGTAGGTAGCTATTAGAGGTAGAGCGGTCACCTACCTCAGCACGGGCGGGCAGTGTTACAGAGCAAGCAGCACCTCAGCGGAACCTCAGCAGCTGGTGGAATGGGCCAACAAGGTCAGGTCCAGGGCATGGAAGGCTGGCTGACGTTGCTGGCTCCAGGCTTCAGCACTTTGGCTCCACTCTGGCGCCGGAAGACACGCCGCCAAGCCTGGAAACTGCCCCGCAGAACCCGTCCAGGCCGTGATACGATGCGGCGGCGGGACCGGGTCACTTTCAGACAGGGGCCGGGCCAGCCACAGCGGACAGTGGCCGACTGGGCAGGCAGTGGCTGGTGGAAATGGACGGCAAAAGTTCTTATCTTATCACTTGCCGGACTGGCAACGCCAAAAAAAAGTTCAGGGACGGCAACCCACTGCGCAGCGGCGACACGATTGTGCTAGTGGACATTGAGTCGCGAGAGACCTTGCGCATGTTATTTTGGATTGGCATCTTGTACTAGTGGCTGTCCAATTATCGCAAATATGGTCAAATCATACCTGTAAGCCTTGCGATTCTGTCCTACTTTCCTCTCGCCTGATGGCATCTCTAATACACATGGGAACAACAGCAAGTTCGAGCCCTCCAAGTCCTTCGGTGTCGTCGCAACCAGCTCCTCGAATCTCGTCTGGACCTCCTCCAAAGACAAGTCTGGCACCGGTGCGGGCCAGGCCATCGTCGCCGCCAACAATGAGGTTCTAACTTGGGATATCAAGAAGGGCGAGCTTCTCAACCGCTGGAAGGACGAGAACTGCAAGGCCCAGGTCACCGCCATCGCTCAGAGCAAGACCGATCCCGACGTATTCGCGGTCGGCTACGAAGACGGCAGCATCAAGCTGTGGGATAGCAAGATCTCCACCACCATTGTCAGCTTCAATGGACACAAGTCGGCAATCACGATACTGGCCTTCGACAAGTCGGGAGTGCGCCTGGCCAGTGGCGCAAAGGATACCGATGTAATTGTTTGGGATTTGGTTGCCGAAGTCGGCCAGTACAAGCTACGAGGACACAAGGATCAGATCACAGGACTGCGATTCATCGAGCCCGAGCCGCAAATACCCGAGGGCGGCGACGATGAAGAGCAGGCTATGGTGCTGGACAACGAAGCGACAGAAGGTTTCCTCTTGACGACCGGCAAGGATGCGCTCATCAAGCTTTGGGATCTTTCATCACGGCATTGTATCGAGACCCATGTGGCACAGAACAGCGGCGAGTGCTGGGCGCTTGGTGTTTCTCCCGACCTTAGTGGATGCGTCACAGCTGGCAACGACGGCGAGATGAGGGTATGGGCTTTGGATGTAACAGGACTCGCTTCGTCAGCACGCAAGGTCGATCTCTCGCAAGCAATCAACTTCCTCCACGATCGCGGCACACTACACCGTTCGAGCAAGGAAAGGGCCGTCGAGGTCATCTTCCACCCCCGTCGCGACTATTTTGCAGTACATGGCGTCGAGAAGTCTGTCGAGATTTGGAGGATACGAAACGAAGCCGAAATCAAGAAGAGCTTGGCGAGGAAGCGGAGAAGAAGAAGAGAGCTGGCTGCGAAGAAGGGCAAGAAGGAAGCAGAGGCGGAAGAGGAAGACGACAAGGCCGATGATATTTCAAAAGCAGACATCTCCGACGTCTTCGTACAGCATGTTATCGTGCGGACAACAGGCAAGGTTCGGTCGGTCGCTTGGGCCCTCAGTCAAGGAACCAAGGATCTCCAGCTCCTTGTTGGAGGCACAAACAACCTGCTCGAGACATATACCATTGTTGGAAAGGATAAGCTCAAGTCCAAGGGTGATGCGCCAGACTACAACAAAGCGCTTGCGGTGGAGCTTCCCGGACACCGAACAGACATTCGTGCCCTCTCCATCAGCTCAGACGACAAGATGTTGGCTTCGGCAGCAAACGGCTCCCTCAAGATCTGGAACATCAAGACCAACACATGCATCCGGACATTCGAGTGTGGCTACGCTCTCTGCTGTTCCTTCTTGCCTGGCGACAAGGTGGTCGTGGTCGGAACCAAGGAGGGCGAGCTTCAACTTTACGATGTTGCTTCGGCATCTCTGTTAGAGAGCGTTAACGCCCACGAAGGCCACGCCATCTGGTCACTACAGGTTCACCCAGACGGCAAGTCCGTTGTTTCTGGCGGTGCTGACAAGACAGCCAAGTTCTGGGACTTCAAGATCGTTCAGGAACAGGTTCTTGGCACGTCAAGGACAACCCCCAAGCTCAAGCTTGTCCAGTCCAAGATTCTCAAGGTATCAGACGATATCCTGAGTCTCAGGTTCTCCCCCGACGCGAAGTTGCTTGCTGTTGCTCTTCTCGACAGCACTGTTAAGGTCTTCTTCGTCGACTCATTAAAGCTTTACCTCAACCTTTACGGTCACAAGCTGCCTGTTCTCAGCATGGACATCTCCTACGACAACAAGCTTATTGTCACAAGTTCCGCCGACAAGAACATCAGAATCTGGGGTCTCGATTTCGGTGACTGCCACAAGGCTCTCTTCGGTCACCAGGACTCCATCCTCCAAGTTGCTTTTGTTCCTCACAACTCGGACGGCAACGGCCACCATTTCTTCAGTGCCAGCAAGGACCGCACCATCAAGTACTGGGATGCCGACAAGTTCGAGCAGATCCAGAGGATCGACGGCCACCACGGCGAGATCTGGGCCATTGCCGTTGCTCACAGCGGCCAGTTCCTCATCAGCGCCAGTCATGACAAGAGTATCCGCGTATGGGAGGAGACGGACGAGCAGATCTTCCTCGAGGAAGAGCGCGAGAAGGAGATTGAAGAGCTGTACGAGAGCACGCTCACCACCTCGCTTGAGCAAGACCCCGACGCCGAGGACGAGAACCGCGAAGTCGGCGCTGCGTCCAAGCAGACGGTTGAGACGCTCATGGCGGGTGAGCGCATCGCCGAGGCGCTCGAACTCGGCATGGCCGACCTAAACGCTATCAAGGAGTGGGAGGAGGCCAAGCAGCAGAACCCCAACGTGGCGCCGCCGCAGCGCAACGTGCTTTTCATGGCGCTCGGCAACATCAGCGCCGAGCAGCATGTCATGAACGTGCTGCAGAAGATCAAGGCGTCGGCGCTGCACGATGCTCTGCTCGTTTTGCCATTCGCCACCGTCCCCATGCTCTTCACCTTCCTCAACATCTTTGCCATGCGCTCCATGAACATCCCGCTTACTTGTAGGATTCTGTTCTTCATGCTCAAGACCCACCACAAGCAGATCGTGGCGAGCAAGACGATGCGCGCCATGTTGGATGGCATTCGCACCAACTTGCGTGGTGCCCTCAAGCGCCAGAAGGATGAGATGGGATACAATGTTGCAGCGCTCAAGGTCGTAGGCATGCAGTTGCAGCATAAGAGCGTGAAGGATTATGTTGATGAGAAGTGGGAAGAAGAGAACGAGGAGAACAAGGCGGTCAAAAAGCGTGCTTTCGTGCAGGTTTCCTGAGCGTCGGATGGTTGGGGTTGGCGAAGGAAACAAAGGCCGGCATGATACATGGGAGTGACCGACAGGTGGATGAAGGGTAGTGTAGGTGAAAGGAGTAGAAGGGATCTGGAAGAGGACAAATCTGTTCAGCACATAACACAACATACATATGGTGTCTGACGTAGAGGAGAAAGGGGTGAACGGTGTTGATACCGTTTCTCTTTCGTATGGTAAAATAGGGCAACGTTTCTTTTTTTTGGGAGTTGGGGTCTAGTTAAAACGGCATTGCATAGTATTCGTTACCCTTATCTCCAAATTGCTCTGTCTTGATTCTCCCCCATCAAATTCTCCATCTTAACTTCCGGAAGGGAAACGCGTGATGTCTTGATCAATTCGTCTTCGTGGTGCCGCAACCTATCGTTCACCGTCCACTACCATTCTCTTTTTCCATCCTTCGTTGTCTCGTATTTCCCCTTTTCCCTCATGTCCCCCCTTTTCCCCAATTTCCCCTCACACCTGTCTCACCTTCACTCCCTCTCATCTTCCCATCCCGATCCCCAAACCTCTAGTACCTTACCCTCGTTCAGCCGCCTCTCACTCTCTCGGCCTCAAGTCCCCTCCCTCCCTTCCCCCCATAATCACACTTGTCGAGTTGCCTCTCACATAACACAACACCGAACCTCAACCCCCGGATCCCCTCCACTCGGTCCTGCACCAAGCTTAATCCCCTTCTTAATCTTGGTAACCATCCTGACCTGATTCCGATCGTAAACCCCCCTCAAGTCACACTCCGGACACGGTTCGCCGCGGGCGATGTAAGCGGGTGGAGCGGGCTTGGCTACTAGGTGTTGGTGGTGGGGGCAGTTATGTTGGATTTGGTGGTAGGGAGGGCCGGGAAGGTGGACTTGGCAGGTGTTATGACCTTGGATTTGGAGTTGGCCTTGAATGGGAGTGGTAAAGGTAGCGGTGTGGCTGGGGGTGTGATTTGGATGGGGATGTTGCTGGTAGGGGCAGAGGGGTTGGTGGCAGAGGCCGTCGGGAGAATGGTGGTTGTAGTGGTAGTTGTGTGTGTTGTTGTTGTAGGAAAAAGAGGGACAGGTGTTGAAGCCCGCACCTGGGAGACAAGGAGTGGTGATGCGCATCCAGCGGTGTTTGCAATGCGTGTCTTTGTAGAGGGTTGTTTGGCACATTGTGGTTGTTTCCCCGTCGGTGGGGTGCTGGTGGTGTCAAGGTTGTTATGTTCAGTTCCTAATTTGTTTCCGCCTCCTCAAAGGGTACGACACAACGCCTTGGTACCATTAAGATATGAAGGTGAGAGATGGTTGACTGCTTGGGAGGCGGTCGTGGCGGCTTTTTAGCGATTTCTTTTTCCTGCTTTGCTTCTTGAGGAAGGCGCGATGGGCACTGGCTCCGGCGGTCCGAGGTTGAGGACTTGACTATAATAGATACCGGGAGATATTAAGGGTAGCGAGAAAGCGCTGGGGATGGCTTCGAGTAGCTTATTTGAGCATTAAATGGGAAATTATCTTCTTGTCAAGGAGGAGCGAGCGCGAGTGACTGTGGTTTGTGTGGGTGAACTACCTATGCCGATGATCAGATGAAAGGGGCAGTCACTCACACGTTTTCTGAGGCCTCGACTCGTGGATCATAGATATCGCGAGGGTAGCGATGAGTTTAATTATGCCGTCCAATATCACAGGATACAAACGCAACAGCTAGTGTCTGGGACCGAGGGTTGGAATCGAACCCCAAACAACCCAACTTGATCCATGTTGAGACCTTGGATAATCAGACGCTTGCAGACCCTCCGGCTGAGTGTGGGGTTATGTGTCTACCAGTTCTGCACCCAGTCTTGTTAATATCCCTATCAGGGTCCGAGACGACGAAGGGAGGGGTCGATGGAAACGACCAGATTTAGGTATTCTTGTTCTGGTGGATGTTAACTATCTCATCATCTTGACAATCCAAAAATAAGGTCCTCTTGATTCCTTTTCTGTACCTCTACATGGTTTTTAATCAACCCATAGCTTCGTCATGCCGTGAAATATATGCTACTTTTTCCGACTTTCTTCACCCATTTTGTAACCTTTATCCAACGGATCAATACCATGCTGTCGTTCCGTCTTGGCCCAAGCAACTCTCCCCATCATGACTCTTCTGAAGCAGAGGAGGTATGTGTCGGCACAGGGGATGTGCTCTGGGACCGACCTCTTTTTGTAGATTCCACATCTGCACTTTTGTCCTGCCGTAGCTTTTCATGAGTTTCACTTAAGACGTTGTTACCGTCCTCCTTGTCACTTTCCTCGCTGGCGGAGATGTCTGCAGATGAATGGTGTTCCTGCTCCTCCTCATGCTCCTCCATCTCCTGAGCCATCTCTTGATCCATATCCTGGTCCTGATCCTGATCCTTTTCCCGCTCCTCCTGGTCCTGGTCCATCTCCTGGTCTTGTTCCTGGCCCTGATCCTGAACTTGGCCCATCTCCTGATCCGGCTCTTCCAATGCTGCTCCAGCCTCCGGGAATGATACCAACACGGCAGGCCGCTTGTCAACCGACTGTTCCTGGCTCTGGCTGTCCTGCACCGTATTCCTGGCCTCTTGCTCGGCCAATAGCTGACCGGCTGGTGATGCTTCATCTGGTTCAGATTGCGGTTCTTGTGCATCCGATGGCTGTTCTGCAGGCTGTTGTCTCGGAGGAGTGACCGGGAGATTCGGGGCTACACCGGAAGCCGCCGCTTGAGGCGATTGGGTGCTGCCACTGACGCTTACAGGACCAGGGCCAGGCTGAGGGGGAGCTGGTCCGGGCGGCCTAAACTCTCTCGACCCTGGAAATGGTGGCACTGGCACCATTCCCGGTGCTGGACCAGGAACTTGCCCCGGTCCGCCCTGTGCAAACGGGGAAGGTTGAGGTGGAAGGTTGGGAGGAAGCGCAGCAGGCTGAGCGTACGGAGGCGCCTGGGGGGTTGCATAATAGGGCGTGAATTGAGGAAATTGAACTATCATTGGCATCTGGAACTGCGGACCATATGTGTATGGGGCCGGGTAGGATCCGGGGTATGGCTGTGGCGGAGGTCCTCCTTGGTATGGTGCACCTTGATGAGGTGGGTATACTGGGCCTCCTGGGCCAGGTTGGGGATATGGCGGGTAGCCGGGGTGGCCCTGAGGAGGACCTGGCGTATGGGGAGCTTGGTGCGGAGGACCATAGTGAGGAGGAGGAGGAGGAGGCTGACCATAGCCATGCTGAGGATTGAAAGCGGGCGGTCCCGGCTGATAAGGGTATCCTGGCGGCGGTTGATGATGAGCCACTTGGGGAGGGTACGTGTGCTGTAACTGATGATACTGCGGTGGGATTTGGTCAGGTTTGGGCTGATAGGGGTTGAAAAATGGAGGCTGAGGCTGTGACGGCTGAGGCGGTTGAGAGTATGACGGCTCTCCGGGAGGACGAGGAACATAGGGATGATGATTCACCGTCCATTGGGCGGGCGGTCTCTCGAGTTGCTGACCAGGTTGCACAACGACAGGACCGTTGGTATTTTGTGTGTGTGGCCCAGCCGGCGGCACCTGGGCAACGGGCGGTCTTGGAGCAGCCTGCGAGTTCACATTCGTTCCTAGAGCTGCAGTGTGCGTGGAAGAAGCGGACGAAATTGAGATGGCACGAGCAGGAGTGTTCCTGGCGACTGCGCCACGGTTCCCTTCTCCAGCCATGGTAGCGCGTTGCTGAGATCCTCTCGCACTTCCGCCACTCGAAGGCGCAGTTGGCTGCTGTTGTGGTTGCTGTTGAGGTTGTGGCTGTTCAGATCCTTCTCGAGATGCCGGTTGAGGTGCTTGCGGATTAACTATGAACTCAACTCGGGTTCCCGGCCTTGGCTGATCGGAACCCGGGTGATCACCTGGCTTCGATTTGGGCAGCTCAATGCCTGTGCCCTCTAGGATTTTCTCGCGGGAATCCCACCAGCCTTGGATGGTTGGGATGGGAATCTTCCACCACTCGGAGGCCTCAACGTAGGTAGGAGCACGATACCAGACCAGCTGTCCGTTGGCGTCGCGGGTTGCAGTTTGGGGGACGGGTTCCTGTTCGTGTGGCGGCTGGCCGATTCGACGACGAGGAGCCTTGCGTGGACGATAATCGGCAATCCGATGGTTCAACAGGAATTGTATAACCTCGATTTTGCGTTCCCTGGAATAAGAGCGTTCGACCCTTCTCACAGGCTTTGGGGCCGTCCAAGGACGTTCTGATATTGGTTTTGGAGCTGGGCCACGCTTCTTAGCCGGGATTCCTTTGGCGGTCAGGCGCACAACTGGGGGCGGCGGAGGTTTCCTGGGTGCCATGACCAATGCTTATATGAGCACTGCTCGAGATTGACGCAGTCTTGAAGGTGACGAGACCGGTCATAGAGTGTGGAGAGAGCAGACCTGGTGCAGCACACCGACGTGTTGGCACATGGTGGCCCGATCACGTCTGCTGCAATATCGTCGGAGGTCCGGTGGTGGTTTGGCTGCGTTGCTTGCTCAAATGTCCGGTGTTCGGATACTGGTCGCGCGCAGTCTACTCCAAAAAGAGCTAGACAGGAAAAGTGGCATCCAATAGACGGTTGAGCTAAGTGGACACCAACTACGAATTTGGGTTTGTTTTCGTGTTTTGTTGGAGGAGCCTCAGCTCGAGCTGGGGGGGTACGTATACCTCAGATTCTTTCAATTCAGAATTAACGGATTGGGGAAGATATGGGTGAGAACAGTGAGAATTCCAGTTAGGTCGAAACGTTGGGTCAAAGGCGTTTTCATAATGTGAATATGCTCTTTCCAAATTTAAAACCACCGTATTGGATCTTGTTGATGCCTTTCGGATCCGTACCTAGCCATTCATTCAATGGTTTAGGCCAAGTCGGAAGATATCTCGTCTAGCGTGCCAGGAGTACTGAGCTAACAAGGAAACCAGCATCAGATTGTACTTTGAAGGTACCTAGGTTAGCAAGCAGCTCGAGGCTTGTACGTACAGGTAGCTCTGCTCGAGGCACTGAGGATAAATCGATGTGTCCATGGGGAAACGCGCGTGCAGACAGTTACAATGTGCAAGTCGTGATTGCCCTGGCTGAGCAGCCACTTGCATGGAGCACTGCGATTGCAACCGACTCATCAACTCATCGACATTCCGCGGCAAAACTCGAAAAAGCTGCATCGCGCCCACCACTAGAGAGAGGTACAGGTAGAGAGGTACCTCTTTTCATGAAACGCAGCTGAAGTCGCGGGAAGGCACCTGTCTCGGTCCCTCGGAAGACCTGCTCCAAAAGGTTCCCCAGAGCCTCCAACTAACCCCAAATATAGCGGCCAAGCCCCGCTATCTGTCCCACTCATGAAAGACCCTTACCCCCTTCCTTCGAGCGGTGCCTGGCTGGGGTGGGGAGGGTACCAAAGAAGCTGGAGACCTGGATGCCTGCCCTAGCGTATGCCTTGCTGCTGCTGTCTGCGCCAGCCTAGAACAATTTGGACATTGGGGACCTCGTCCAATCTCCGTGTGTCGCGAACCGAACCCAGATCCCTCCCCGTCCAAGAACGATGCCTCCAACTCGCCGACAAGCTGAAAGATTACGTCCTTTCCGATGGCGCCGGGCGAAGAACCCAGATTTACACACGCATCTTCTCCTCCAAGTTCCTAATCCGTGAATCTATAGTCAACCACACCTCCGCCATCCCGACCGACGGCGCCTTTGTCGACCATTGACTTTTTGGATACAACAACACTCGCTTTCTTCGTCGTCTTTGCTTCCGACCAACTTGAACGCCGCGCGGCGCGTATATCAACAGTTCTGACAACAATCCTAGCTACAACTACGCTTTGTAACTTATATCCCATCTCTCGACCGACTATACATCTATACCCGACACCATATTCTGCAATCGTAATCGCTACTGTGTTTACACTTCAAATCATGGGCCTTTTCGCAAAAAAGAAGCATGGCCACGAAAAGGGTGACTCCGAGACGCATTCGCCATCTCCCAATACGCAGCTCGGTGCCCCCGAAATCACGTTCGTCCGTACCGATACGTTTACCGAGGAGAGGATCTTTCCTCCTGCGAGCCCTGTAACCGAGAATGATGCCGACCACGATTCATACCTGTCCGCCGAGACGGCGTCAGGAACACCAGCAAGGGGTCGCCTTAGTCTGGACGTCTTCCGCAGCAATCGCAGTCGTA